CTATCCGTCCGCTATCCGATCCGGGCCGATCGTGGTGATCCGAACGCGTCTAAGCATAATTTCGTGTGTGTTCATCGCCGACCTGCAGATAGACACAGCCAATAGAGACGTATCAAAGGGAAAAAGGACAGGAGAGAAAAAAAAGGACAAGATCAAGAAAAAAAGAGAGAAAAGAAAGGACCGCTCCAAACGGGAGCGGGAAAGAGCCGTGAACTGGAAATTCCGAAAAGTGAAGGGAAAATCGTAGAATCGAAACAGCCCGGAATCCCGAGGACTTAATTTACGTCACGACACGCCAGAATTTTCATCGAATTCCTAATACAGGTGGTATTTCGAACGATTCGGGCAACTCAAATCAAAGCAAGCATCGACTAGCATAAAATATTACTCGGCCGAATTTAAATAAATGATCTCGAGCGATTATTCTAATAATAATCCTGCAATTCGGCAAGAACATAATTCTCCTCGGAAATATCAGGAATAATATCAGGAATAAATATACCTCGGAATAATCAGGAGGAATCTGAATAGGTCTGAATAATCCAACAGCTCGAAAGAAACCAGTAATTCAGCAAAAACTGATTAACTAATAATTACGTCGCGCCGATATCACCCGGCAAAACAGAGCTGAGCTAAATCGAGAAATCTGCAAATTTAAAAGAGCCGAACGGTCGAAATAATCCAAGAGAGAAGCTGTTAATTTAAGAAACTCACACGGCGCGACGTAAACCGAATGAAACTGCACAGGGAAACGAGACGGGCGTATCTCGGGAGGTTAGATTGAATAATTTGCCGTTGGCTCGCGCGCCGCCGAATACTGATGACGACGGGACGGCAAAATCAAGCGATCACGAGGGTGCCCGATCAACCCGCGACGGTGATTTCACGAACACGCGGACTTTTCGGAAGGATACGCATCTCCGATGGCGAATGCCGCGCGCAAAATACGCGGCACAAACACACCGTTTGACACCTGGAGGAGCGTACCGCCGACCTGCCTGTCCGCCTTGGCACAATGGCCTCGTAAAGTCCCACTTTGTCCCCGGGATAATAAAGTTCCCGCGCGAGGAGCACGAAGGATCCTCCAGAAAGTCCTCGGGTGGTATTCCTTTGTTCGGTGCTTTGTGGTTACTCGACTCGGGGGAGGAGGGAGAGAGAAGGGAATAGCGGCCAAAGCTTGTCACAACCCTCCGCGCGTCCCACTTGCCGCCCGAGCCGCGTCTTACCCCGTCGCCCACGCCGCCGGCCCTTCGCCGTTCCCACCCCTCGTCGCGGCTTCCCGTTATTCCACTTTGCGAAGCGCGCTCCTCGATTTATCGCGGAATAAACAAGCGTTCCTACCCTACCCTCTCTCTCCTGCCCTCCTCCCCGCCGCGGCGCGACGTCCTGTAATTCGCGTTAAACTAGGACTGTCGCGACCCTCGGGAGATAGCGCACTGTAATTCGTAGGAAAATAGAGCCGGTGTGCCTGAAGAGGGTCTCGAACGTAAACGGGCGTCTTGTTCCTCGTGCTCGGAGATTTCAGCATTTCGCCTTCGCGTCGTCGGCTCACGTATTTATATCGCGGGAGGAATTAATCTGGGTAGTTGACGCAAGAACCAGATGGATATGACACGGGAATGTTTCACCGTGGATTAAAGAAGGAACTCGCCCCCTATTTTAGTTGTTTCAAGTTGATTTTGGAATTTCGCATTCACGTCGTGAGTTATTTATATTTTAAGCGATATTAACTTGGGTAAGTTTACGTAAGAAACAGATGAATGACACAAGAATATGTCACTGTGCATTAAAGAAGAATCGCTCCCTCTCTTCCCTTCCAGTTGTTCTAGGTTGATTTTGAAGTTTTACATTCACGTCGTCCTCGTATTTATTTTATGAGCGAAATTAACGTGGGTGATTGACGTAAGAAACGGAAATGTTTCACCGTGGATTCAAGGAGAAACCCTTCGTTTTGCATCAAGATTCTCAGCTCTCGCACGATATATTTCATTATTACATCATGAAACACCCTGTACAGAACGTTGCGCTATTTTTAAAATTCAAACTGTAATGTACACGACCGGATTGAAGCGCTCGACGGGATTAAATCATAAATTGTATTCAACGTTTTTCTGAATTTCAGCCCTCGGAGTTTCGCACTCTGAGATCGCAATAAAAATCTTCAAACTCTAATAAGCGCTTTTCGCTACGAAACTTTCCTCCCTTCGCGTTCTCGGAGCCCGTTTACCGCATTTCACCTCGCCTCAAAATATCGCGAGAAAGAAAAAAAATATTCTCTCTCCTTCGCGGGCAAAATTTTCAGAAGATAAATTACGAAATTTCAGGAGGAGAGATCTTAACGTGGTTTAATTTCGTTCTCCTCCCACCCCCTTCCTCCCCCCGGATGTTATTCCACGATCTATCTCGAAAAGGGAATACGCGCGTCATATTTCCACGTTAGACGAGCTCTTAATGTTAAAGTGCCACGATGGGAATCCAAGTAAAGCGTCGCGAGGGCGAAATAAAGATTTGCGCGAATGTCGAAACGATGGAATCCGGATTCGCGAAACTTTTCGCGAATCAAGAGTGAAAGAGAGAAGTTTCCGCGTTTTCCGTTTTTGCGCGCGCGCACGGAGATTTACAAGTCACGTACAGAGCGTCGTAAAGCTTATAAATCTTTAATGCGCCGTCTTTCAGCGCCCGCGCGCCGGGAAATATTGCGCGAGCGATGAGAAAAATGTGGGTCAGAAGACGCGAAGAACGGGCGCAAGGATCCTTGATATATATATATATATATATATA